CTCTCTCTCTCTCTCTCTCTCTCTCTCTCTCTCTCTCTCTCTCTCTCAGTCTACTTTAGTGTAAAGTTGGGCCTTCTTTTCTGCCTCTCTTTTTCTCTTTCCTTTATCTTTGTCAAACTCTCCCTCCTCCTTTTGACCTCCTTCAATCCACCCTTCAGTCAGCTTTGCGTGCTCCTCTAAAATGGCGAGGACAGAGAGTCAATAAGGCGTCACAAGCCGAAACACACATTCATACTGTGAATGTGTGTTATTATCTAAAGCTCAACCAGCTCATTTATTATAGCCACATTTCAACAGAAAACAGTTTATAGTGGTGAGACTATGATAATAACATTATGTATAATTACATTTCATGATTGCATTTTTGTTGTTGTCTTGAATTATAACATACAGTAGTGTCCTAAGGGCTGAGAGAAGCCCATGACCCCTCAGGCTCATATCTATAATAATTGTTTGTCACTGCATCAAATGGCTTATGATTCAGTACAACTTGTGTTCCTCAAAACGTCTTGTTTTAAGAAGATACAATGACTTTGAAATTTGAAAACAGAATTTCTGAACTTCATTATTTTTCAACCTGGACGCCATTTTCCCATGTTTTTGTGTCTGTTATTATTAGTGTGCGACTACATTATGGAAGGGAGCATAGAGAGAAATAAAAGCTTTCCTTTACTTTTCACTTGATCCGGTCTGTCTATTCGCTCAGAGCAGTCTCGTTCTGAAATCTCATCCACATTTTTGAAATCAGCTAAATATGCAGCGTTCTCCCTCAGTACTGGACCAATTTCACTGTCAGTTAGACACAAAAACATGGGAAAATATTGGGTCATCTTTTGCACATGTTGTATGGTCTCTGCATTGAAGGTTTATTTTGGTCTTTTTTGTGTTTGTATGTATTGCCACATGCTGTAATACATCTGCATATCTTTCATAGAAACCGTAAATGGTTTCTGCTACAAGAAACTATTGAAAACATTATCATGGTCTTTTCCTGGATTACCATCACTGTTTCCTTAGTTTACCTCTGTATATCTCCTCATGTGAGACTGTGAATGTAGTTTATCATATAATATCCAAGGTGCTACACAGACTGAATGAGCTTTTGTTTCCACTGTTTGAAGCTTTACCTGAAGGCTTTCACTCAGGGACATGAATGTCTGGAAGGAATCTTTCTGAGTTCATGTTTGTTTCTAGAGGGAAGTGCTCATAGATGTATCTGCTACCGTGTCGGTGTGTGTGTGTGTGTGTGTGTGTGTGTGTGAGAAAGAATATGCTGGTGGATTTGTGTGCTCATGGCCAGATCAGCAGCTACTGAAAAGTCCTTAAAGTACTGTAAATAAAAACCTCAGATCCTTGAAACCTTTAGTTGTTGGTGAGTGTGTGTGTGTGTGTGTGTGTGAATGTGTGTGTGTGTGTGTGGACTTTTTGTATTCATAGTCCCCTTGCACTACCTTGAACCTCTGTAACACTTGAATCTAGTAAATGTTATAAAGTACAGTGGATACAAAAAGGTGATTTAAATGTATGCGAGTGAATGAATGTGAATCATTAACCCCTGTTGAACCCGAGCGGTATTTGAATTCTTGGGTGTTTCCTCCACACTTTCCTCTGTGCATGTGTGTATGTGCTGTTTGATTTCCTCAGTGCATTTAACCTACCTTGAACCCATGTATCATCTGAATGAATCCATTGCATTTTAGTTATTTAGTTAAAAAAGCGTAAATAAAGCACTAAAAATCAATGTGCATGTGTTATTGAGAGTAAAGTACCGGTAATACGAGTGCGCATATAATTGAGTTAACAATGTGTGGGATTTTAAAACCTAAACCATGTTTAAACTTGACCATCAACATAATATGCTACATGTAAATGAGTATGGCAAATTATTCTTCAATGTAGACTATAAGAAAGTGAAGGAGTGCTTTTCTGTGTGTGTGTGTGTGTGGCCTACCTATATACGGTGGTGGGTGGGTAGTTGGCGATGTCGTAGATGAGTCGTATGTGTCCCTGGTACAGTTCCAGAGCCAGCGGGTCGTGGTCCTCCTTGTACAACAGAATACCGTTGTCTTTATCTGTAGCCACCTAGAGAGACAGAGAGGTCGGATAAGAAATAAAGACATATTTGAAGACAATGGGTGATATGCTGTATATCAGGTGTTTTCAAAGTCTGAGACTGTGGGCCTCCCCTCAAACAAAGCTTGGGAACCCCCCCTTAGATGACATACTTTGTTTCACTCAATTATTGGATGCCTATGGGATCATGATTATCTTATTTGATCCCATAGACACTCAACAAATTAGCCAGGATGGCAAAATATTGCTGTTTGACATAACTTCAGACTACACCAAATAAATACAAAAGGTCTGTGCCTCAGGTATTTATTAATTTCACACTCTAGGAAAGTGAGAAAAACTGCAAAATTCCACAAAACGAATGCATTTCTGAACTGATTTCTTTAACCAAATCACACACAATTAGAGTATTCTATGTGATTTTCTTTTAAAAACGAATGTAATAATTATTGTAATATTCTTTCACTTCCATTCACTGACCCTCCCCTGAAACAGTTTGGACCCACTTTGAAAACATCTGCTCTATATCATTCATCGAGGACATTGCCGACATAACTGTGGCAACACAGCTGACAAGAATCATCTAATATTGGTTGTGACATTAGACGAATACAAATAGGATTGGCAATGTACAGAGTCTGTTTTGTTTTAATTGTCTAATTTGGAAGAATTATGGTTTCACTACAGATTCCCACTTTTTAAGAGGAAATCCAAAACAAATCCACAACTAGTTAATAAAAGCAAACGGCAGGTTAAGCCTCACGTGCATTGCATTACATTGCATTGCATTACTTTCAAACTGCTAAAGAACTGCGTGAAAATGAGGAGAAAATGTAAATTCCACCACACACATCCCTAAACGATGTCACTCGCCTCCCTCCCACACAGACGCACTTGACATGTCACACTTGCTCGCATGCGCCGCTAAGCGCTAACTAACTAGCGAGTGGAAATGGGGCCATGGGGCCAAGCACTTAACACTCTGGCTTCAATGGAGCATAGCCAAGTCAACACCTGCTAACAAGCTGCTGGAAGAAAAAAAAAGACAAGATCGAGGCAGAGCAAAGGGAGAAAAGGAGGGAGAAATGTAGAGAACAGAGGAGAGAGAAAGGGGGATGGAAGAAGAGAGTCAGATATAGAAAAGTGGGTGAAGAGAAAACTGGTCTGCAGACGGAATGAAAAGAGGAAAAGTGTTGAAGAAAAAAACAAAACATGGAGTGATTTATGAAGTGCTGTGGCCCTTTCATTCTTTTTTTTTCATTTCTCTCTCCTGCCTCAGTCAGGGCCTCTTGGTAGAGTTTTAACAGCCTTGGCACTGACATAGAAAGCTCCTGGCAGGAACGCAGAAGCACACATCCAAACACACACACACACACACACACACACTCACACAGATCCAAACAGGTGCTAAATATCAATTAGAATGCACTCCTTTTCTTGTTTCTCTTTTGCTCACTTACACATTAGGATATGTGTCTCAGGTGTCCAAAATGTATGGTCTGCGTGAATGAGTGTGTGTGTGTATGTGTGTGTGTGCATGGAAACAGAGGATGTAGCAGATGTTTGCTTTGCTTCGTCGGCACTAAGTCGTGCAACTCTATAGGTTTGATTTGAGCGGCTCGCAGCTCTATTTTAAGCAGCCCATAAATGTTTTCCATGTAGTGCAGAATATGGCTAGTTGACATACTTTAAAAGATAGTAAAGCAGGAAACATTTCAATACAGTTGTAGTGTATTTTAAAACAGGACATTTTCTATAGATACCTGCATGACTGCGTGATTTTTACAGAACCAAAACTCTGTTTCGGTCGTAATGTTACCTGTAATGAAATATGCGCCGTGGGACGGAGCTTCGCGCCCGGCAGCTCCACGTATCCATCCCGACCCAGGAAGTGAACAGTGGCCATCTTGTCACATTTGTTGCCGTAGAAACCGGGCATGCAGCGGCAGACGGGCTCCCCGGCAACCACCAGGCACTGGGCGCCGTTCTGGCAGTCCGATTGGTCGCAGGGGCTGGTCTGCAGCAAGATCATTGGTGGAGGGTTCTCACAGAACAGCCCGCTGAGAGAGATGAGTAGATTACACAGAAGATAACTTATTCATAGAGCTTTAATGAGGTGATTTGCTGTGTCCGTATCCCATGATGAAACTTGTTTAGTTCTCGCTCTGTATTTTGAATTACATTTGGAGATTAAATCAGTGAAGCTGGAACGGTAATATTCCTGAAGGAAGTGGAGATCTTTTATCAGCATGACACGGCAAACAGATTCTGTGTAGATAACTGTTTCCTACTGCACCTTGTTGCATCTTTGAAACTCTGAACCTTTCTTTTGAATTTCTTCTTTTTGCCGATAGAGGATCTGCCTTTACGCTGCTGTCTGTCTGCTTTATCTATTTGTTTCCTGCATACCGAACTTCCTCTCTCTCTCTCTCTCTCTCTCTCCCTTGTGATGAATTTGTTTCTGTCTGCTATAATTAACCACATGGAGCTGCATCTGCTGCGCACAC